ATTTCTCTTTCCAGCCAGGCTAGGGTCAGGAGTCCTTAAGGGATAGCCAGGAGGGGAAAGAGGTAGGCAAGGTGAGAATAGCTCCCCATTGGCCAGGGGACAATCATTTAGCACCTAGTAGGTTATCAGTAAAGTGGCTTGTTTGAAAATGAAAGTGTTTCTTATTTGCCTTCTAGACCATTCAAGTCTTATTCAAGTCCATACAATCTCTCTGCACAGTGTTACCTCTCTCTTGGAGTTCTTTGCTATTCTTAACCTGGTGCCCAAGACTGCCAGAGAGGCACTAGGGTCTAAAGGTGCTGGCAGAAGGAGCCTCCTTCTGAGAGGCCACTGTCCCCAGAGTAACCTTTAGGTAAACTGAGCTTGTTCTCAGGTCAACTGATTCAAACTAGTTAGTAAATCTAACCCTGCCACTCACAGACATTTATTGCAGGCCTATAATGTGCAAGATGTGACACCAAGTGCCCTGTGGCCATCCTGTGAATGCGGAGGTGGTAGATCTCCATGGAGGTTAAGAGCATGGGCTTCTGCATACCTGAGTGTGAGTCCTGACTCTTCCCCTTGCGCGCCGTGTCACCTTGGCGTATTGCTTAACCTCACAAAGACTCAGTCTCTCCATTTGCCAAGTGAACATAACAGCGGTTCCCAGCTTACAAGATAGTGATGGTTCTGCACACAGCACAGCACCTGGTACCTGGTGAGTGTTCAGCAAGTACTACTCCCGGAGCTATAACTCCAGTGCCAGCAGGTGGCACACACTGGATGTGTCACCAGCAAAGCCTTGGGCCTCATGGTTACTCCACAGTGCCTGGAATGTCACACCTTGCATAACACCTCAAAGGTTCAACTTGTCATCAGAAGACCAGTGAGAGGCACCAGCTTCCCAGGAACCAGCCACTTGGGTCCTGCCCAAACTCCACTTTCCCGCTGGTGCAGCTGCCCACACCCAGCTCAGGACCAGGACTCGGCCTTGTGCAGAATGAGGACTTTGTGTGACATCTGGTTCTGGGAACACTGCTTAGTCTATTCCTTGGCATGGGACCTGCAGGGCAGGTTTGCAAAAGCATGACACACACTCAGACTCACAGAATGCCGGCTGCTTCTGCCTCTTACTGCTGCCATTTACCAACCAGCCAGCCCGTCCTCCCCCAGTCAGCCTGGGGGTCTCGCCACCTCCTACTCCCCACAAGTCACTTCAACAGCAGGACTTCCCAAGAAGTCTTCACTTGCCCTTTTCACTTGCTGGTGATGACAACAACTTCCTTCCTACCAAAGTGAACAAGAATCACGGGAGTGCCTCCACTCCCTCCATGCCCTGTGCCCAAGCACTCGCACATGGGACCTCTGGGGACTCTCCAGGGAGTCCGCCCTGAGCATCTGGACCACGAGGACCAAGGACTCAAAAGGGGGGGCAGTTTCTCTTCCATATGTCACCACAGCAGGATGCAGTCGCTGCCACCAACGCTTAGAGCTTGGATTGAGCAAGAACAGTTTGTCCCCACCCTGGACCATTTCCCCAATAGTCAGACCAGATTAGAGAGGCAAACTCTTGTGTCCACGGGAACTGACTCCATCTTCTGCTAAGCAGCTTCTCTCTGGCTTTGGCCTCCACTTTGCTCACCACTTCCCTGAAACCTGATTGCAAGTGACCTGTGCCCTTTATCTGGGCAAGGCTGATACCTTCTCCTTCCTGGAGTTTATGCTTCAGAGCCAGACCTTCCTGCAGGAGAGTATGGTCTCCAGAGCTTTGGGAAGCTGGATGGACAAAATGAGGAGGCTATAGATACGGGGAAGAGGGAAGAGGAAGCATGAGGATGAGTGTTGGCTGCACTATGGGTCCCAATTCCCCCAGGGGAAGCTGAAGAGGAGCTGGCAGGGCTCCCTGTCCCTGTCTGAGGTAGGGGTGGGGCAGGAAAACCAAAGGTGAGGCTGTTACAAGTCAAGGGTGAAGGGAAGTCACGTGAGTGGTGGGCTGTGTCCTGGGACAGGGTGGCTGGGAGCAGTGCTTCCCTCAGGGAAAAGACTGAAATTGGCTGATAACAGCAGGGCACAGGCTGGGGTGTGGGGCTGCCCCCAGAATTAAGTTGCCCCCATCTCTCCCTTAGCATCAAGCCTCCCCCTCCCCATCACCCCTCATCACTGCGTGTGACCTCTGCTGAGTTTGGAGTGATATTCACTAGAATGACTGTATGTTCCATTTTGCCCTGGAAGATTTTGCTTTGTGTCCGTTGTCCTGGCATAACTATGCATAGCATCCCCTTTCAGGCTTAAAACATCCCAGTTAGGACGATACATTACATGGTCACTTTTCTGGCATATCCAGGAGGGCACTGACATAGGAAAAGGTTGAGGACAAATCAGAGAGAAGCAGAACTAGAAGCAAGGCCTTGGTGGCCCAGAGCAACAGTTAGGCTGGCTTCCGCCCATGTGGATCCTTTCACAACTGGACAGTCATGGAGGGTGAGCCAGAGAGCTGATGCCCATCTGGGGGTTCAGATTGTCCTGGGACAGAGGCCTGGTCCAGCAGCTTCTGCTTCCCATCACCCCTCAAAGGATCTGGAACCATGCTGGGCACACAAGAGGGTCTTAATCATATCTGGTCATTTCCTTACTTCCCTCTACCTGCATCCAAAGCAGACTTACGGCAGTGACAGATGGAAGCTGGAACCCTGTAATTCCCTACTCAGCAACAAACTGAATGCCATCCAGGTACTCCTGACTCTGGCCCTCCAGCCACTAGAACCCCACTACTGTGTAGGCAACAGCAGGCTTCTAGCAGAGGTTCCAGAGGCCATTCCCAGTCAGGATGGTGCTGCCTCCTTAGGATATGGGGTAAAGAACTGAAGAATGGTGCACCTCTCCTGTTTTAGATAATCACTTGGTCTAGCCCACTAGGCCCAGGCCATTGAAGGCCTGGGCTTTGGACACCTGCTCTCTGTTCTAGGGTAGAGTGTAGGGGTCCAGTAGGTCTTCTTGAAGCTTCCTCTAGGACTTAATCCCCAAAGGAGATCAGTTCTGAGGTCAAATAGGGGAAGAAGACCAAGAAACCATAAACACAGATTATCAGGGTACCCTAAACAGTACCCGAATTTCCATAATATTTGTACAAACAATGATGGCCTTGGTGGAAGAGGAGTGAGGTGTTGAGAAAGTTTACTAGCTCTCCTCGTTTCTCTTCTTTCTTACTCCATTTTCCAGTCCCTCCTTTAGTGTGTAAGGGTCCAAGTCATAGCTGATCAGGACTAGCCAAACCCGAAGCCATGGGACCCAGCCAGGGCACAGACTGTGAATTCCCCAGCTTTTTGCAGTTTGAGTCAGCCCCACAGCCACATTGGCCTCCCTGGATGCTTTTCAAATAGGTCCAGAGAAGCTGCTGAATGAGGGGCATGGACTCTGGGGGCCCCTACTTCTATTCAAGGATGTCTAGCACCCAAAACAAAAGCCACAAGAAATTTGCAGTTTTGCTACCTCCTGATCTGGCTGCGTGCCAGTCCTAAAACCATTCCAGAAACACCCATAATTGCCTCCAGCACTTGGACATGGAAGGGATTGAAGGTCCCCCAACACACAGCACTCTCAGTTCATAGAGTTGAGTCTCCAGGGTCCAGATACTCCATCTCTACTCTTGGCAAATCACCCCTATTCCCTAGCCTGGGTTAAAACCTTCTTTGCCACTACCATGCCTTCTCTGATCCCAGAACATCCTCAATTTCTTCTGCCCACCCACTTTCCTAGCAGAGATGGGCAGCTAATGAGACCACTAGGCAGAAATGGAATGAGGAGCTAGAAAAGCTTACAGTGCTGGGATGCACCTCCTGATGCTAGGAGAAGGAAAAGAGATGTGGAATTACCACAAAGTCACGAACCCTTCACAGTCACCTCCTTCTGGAATCATCTCATAGCCATCCCATAACTGCTGCTGGGTTGGGTGTCTGAACCCCTGCCCCCACCTTCCCCCCCATGAGGAAGATTGCCTTCCAGCAGGGAGCTGGAGCAGAGCTGAACTCTGCCCAGGAGAGCTTCTGTAACGCTCAGAAAATGCCTGCCCAACTGCTTGCCTGGGCTCTGGCCCCTCTGGCTGCAACTGAGCCCAGACAGGAGGCTGACTCACTCACCACACGGAGGAGGAGGAAGAGGAGGAGAAGGAGAGGGAGGAGGAGGTAGAGCGGGAAGGGCCTGGGTTCAGAGACCCAAGGTTCCCCCAGCCACGCAGACTGGGTCTCAGCCTTTGGTCCACCAGCTGGTTGTGGGGAGGAGGGGCAGCTATCCACTGGCCCTGGAGACCACACGCTGTTCTGTCTTAGACGCTGCCCCCTAACCTCCTCACTCACCACCCACGGACTCATGGCACCTCGCTTCCCAAACTGAAACTACTCCTTGAGGCCCCTCCTTGCTTAAATGCTTACCCCTGAGTTCCTCTGGACATCTATTGACAGGCTCCCCTGAAAAAATAAATGCCGTGCACTAGGACCAATTAAGTCTAACATTTTTGGTAGTTTTGTTAAAAAAGAAAAATATTCTACTTAGAAGACCCGATCCACCATCGCAGGTGACCATACGTGGGCCCTACAAGACAATAAATAAGGCTACACACACTCCACCCCCAGAAGACCTTAGCGCCGTCAACCAATCGCTACTCCCTTTCTTATTCCTCCACTCCACGCCAAGGCGCCCAGACGGAGGCAGGAAACAAATGCTTCTTGTTCCCCAAGCGCGGAGCACTGTGTTAGCGGAGCGTTTCTGAGTTAAGCTGCCCGCCCGAGCGCCCAGGATGCGGCCGACCCCCTCGCCAGCCAGGGCGAACTTCAGGTCTCTCAGACCTCCGTGCCCCTGCGTCCCAGCCTCATGGCACGACAGGCTGGATCGCAGTCGCCAAGTCTGCCCCTGAGACTTGGACTCTCGTGCTTGACCCCCGGCACTCAGGCTCCTACCCCGGACGCCACCACCCCTGTCGGTTCCCTATCCTGAGACCACTTTCCCCGCAGCCCCCTGGTCCGCACCTGGTCCGCCGGCGGGTGGACTGGCAGCTCCGCGCTCCCGGCGCTCCGGCTCGGCTGCCGCCTTTTGACAAGCAGAGACAACCCAGCACCTGGCCCCGCCCCTCGAGCAGGCCCCGCCCCGCCCCCGCCCCGTGCCGTGGCCCCGCCCACAGGTCCGGTCCTCTCTTGCCAAGAGCTCCACCGGCGCTGCAACCATCTTGACTCGGGTTCAACCACTGATTGCACTGTTGCCTTGGAGACTGCGCCTCGTGAGGCTTTCTCCGACTGCCGTCCCCAGGGCAAGGTATGCTTCTGCCCTGCGTGGGTCAGAGTTTCCGATGACTATGTGTGTGCGCGGATCCACGCTACTGCCTGCGGTGCTTGGTGGTGCATCCCCGCCACCTCGGCCGCAGTGGTTCTACCCAGCCTCCTGCGGACGCCTCCGCCAGGTGCGTCATCCCCACCTGAGCTAACCCGGCCAGGACTTCGTCGTCCGCGGGACTCTGGGGCGCACTTGTCGACGGGTACCAGCGGCTCTCCCAGCACTCGTGGGAAATCCTGGGCGCCGCCCACCGTCGTGCTACTTCTGCAGAGGTCGGGGAGCTCAGCCCGACCCCACAGGTTAGGATGAAAGAGCACACGGGGCCGAAGTGGAACCTGGAGTTGCATCTTCGCTCCCACCCGATGTCCCCTCTGCAGCGACGGCTGCAGACCACGTTCCTGGCCTGTCGCGAATCTCGAATCTCGTACAAGTGGAGCTTGCTCTCAGCTTCCCTTGTCCAGTTCCCCTTCCCCACAGTGGCGTTGATGTCGAGGGAAGGGAGGAGATAAAGAGTACATCCCGAGACCTGGAATTGTGGATGGCTGAGCAAAATTCGCCATAGAAAATTTCGATTAAAAATTACTGCTTCCTAGGCACTGCGTTAGATTCCTTCCGAGAGATGAAAAAGATGGTGTTCCCGCCTTCTTAGAGCTCACTGTCCAGTGGGAAAATGTATAAACAAACAGTAATTAGAACGTAATAGCAACATAATGTTCTAGAACAGAGATGCCCACAAAGTCATCCAGCATTTGATGACCTCCTTTAAACAGGGAAGGTATTACTATTCACCTCCTTTGGAGGAGGAGACCATGGCTTAGAGGGCAAGCTGAACAGGTGGGAAACCGAGGCATAGAGAGGTTAAGTGATCTGCCCAACATGACCCAACTATTCAGTACTAGAGCCCTGCAACTCTGGCACAGTGGCCAAGGAACTAATTTTGAGACAGCTGTGTTAGACTGTATTTTAACCAGCCCCTCTCAACTCTCAGTAATTGCATCAAGAGAAATGAACTGAGGCTAAACTGAAGGAAGAACCCTCAAACAGTGAAGTTTGTTAAGCACTGAAACAGTTCATTAAGGGGGTATCATGGAAACTTTCTGGGAAGGCTTAAGCAAAACACCAAAGAGATGCACATGGTCTGATTGAACTTGGGAATGGACCATCTATTCCGAGAAACAGATGAAAGGAAGTAATGTGTACTTCCTTCACATGTGTGAAATGCTTTATAGTATAAAAATAACTCTCTGAAATATCTTATTTGATCTTCATCATAGCCTTTTGAGACAGTCAGAGTAGAAAATACTCTCCCCATTGTACAACTGATGTGCAGAGTTGTCAAAGTTCTTGCAGCTGGGGAGTGACCGAACCACTTGAATCCAGGTCTTCCCTCTGTATATACCACTGTTCCATGCTGTCTCTCAAAAAATGAAAGTTATTTCCATGCACTTTTCATCTGTTGGGTCACAGTCTAGATAAGCCAGCCTTGGAGAACTCAGAGGTTCTGGGTTTGGCAGATCTGCCAGATTATAGATGTTGTCATGGTCCCTGGCACATGCTGTCATCAGCTCCATCACCATATCCCTAACCATGTTTTTCTCATTGCCCCCTAATATCTGAACTGCTCTCTCATCTGCCGCTCCAGACCCTGTTCTCTCTCAGGTCCTGTCTATCCCCATCAGGCCTTTCCCAACATCCCCAGGTCAAAATGCTCTGACAATTCTCTAGTCTTTGTCACATGTATTGTCTGTATTTCATGGTTTGTCACCTGATAATGAACCATCTTGCATTTACATTGGACGAAGATGGATCTTTCTTTTATTCTTAGGAGGAAGGTTATTTGGTAGGAGTAGAAGAGCAAGATCACATGAGATTCACTTCTCCGTGTTCTGTTGTAATCACTAATTTTCTCCTGACTGTACTTCTTGCTAGCCAGATACATGGCTAGGAAGGGAAGCTACTATTCTGGACCCTGCTGTCTTGAAGCCTTGATAAAAGGCAGCATTCCTGCACTACAGAATTAATAGTTTTAAACTGCTCTAGCTTGACTGATGTATGAACCATGCACAAGAATCTCTGCAGAAAGCACTGATTTTCTCTTTCTTTTCCCTGAAATTAACATTTCTTGTATTCTCACTTGTCCCTGGGAGGAGTGGTTGTCCTCACTGGAATGGTTGGATTGCTGTTGGCTAGTACTCATCTTTGATAAATTATATCAGGGAATATCTACTAAGTGCTTGCTATGTGTAAGGTACCATGCTAGGGTGCTAGAAATTCAATGATCTGTATAGAAACAAAAGAGCCTTCCAGGTGCATCCTACCTGGGAGGAAAGATTCCAGAGATGCCAGGATGAGGCCATCCCTGTTCACTTCATTCCACAGAATCCAGGGAAAGGCAGAGCCTGGCCTCTCAACCTCTCCACCAGGCTCTGGGTACCTGGGGCTGGCCTGGGCAGGTGTGGCTACAGTCAGGCCACAGGGCTCCAGCCTCCCCTCAGCTAATGAGCTCCCCTTTTCTGCAGCCTGGCCACTGTCCTCAAGGCCAGCTGACACTCTCAGCACCTCTTTTCGTGGTGCCAGAAGTTGAGTGGGTCATCTTGTCCTTGTGACGTTCCCAGAGACCTTGTGCCCATGGACAGAGGTTTTTAAGCTGTCCAGAGGCTGTTCCGCAGGTAAAAATGTGCCCTTTGAGCTCTCTCTGGAACACTCCCATGTAACTGTTTGCTTTTCACTTTTTTAGGGCCCTTTTTTTTCCCTTAAATATTTTATGGTTATGGGTAGGGTAGGACTGAAGGGAAGCCTCTCATGCAGCAAACTCTCAAAGAACATTCTGAGAGGCAGTCATGGAGTCATAGAGACAGAAGGGAACAGATCATCTTCTCAGTTATTTCCCTTGTTTTAGAGATTAAAAAACAAAAAAGGAAAAATCCCATTAATTCCAGAAAGGTTAATTCATTTATCTTTCCTAACCCATGTAAGGACAAAAAGAATCTAGGACTATTTTCCTCATTCATGTTCCATGGTGAAAATAGAATAAATAAATGGAAGAAGCTGTAATTAATGAAAGCAAACCAAACACGAGGGTCTTTCCAGGATAGTGTTTTTCATATTTTGAATTGAAACCCATAATAAGAAATAAGTTTTTCTCATGACCTAGTGTGCTCATGCACATATGTAAGTTTCATGAAAGAAAGAGACGTTCTGTGATGCTTTCTATAATTTTCTGTATCCTCCCTTCCTTCTTTCTTTCCTTCTCCCCCTTCCTCCCTTCCTTCCTTTCTTCCTTCCTTCTTTTCTTTTTTCTTTCTCTTATTTCATAACCTATTTATGGATTGTGACCCAAAGTACAGCATTAAAAATCCTGTCCTAGGTCATGGGCTAGGCTGACTTGATCGTTTGAGTAAGCGTTAGACAGAAAACTCCATCTTGCCTTCCTGAGTGACATGAGCAAGCCCCTCTCACCATGGGATCCCATCATTTAGCACCTGCAACATGAGATTCTCAGAAAGGCATTTGAGACACCAGCTATGGTTTACACGTAGCATCCTCAGAATCCCATAGTGGCTCATGGTGGATTCAGGGGGTTGGTGATCCTACCTCAAAAATCACATGGTCAGAGGTAGGTCACTGAGGCAACATGTATCCACCCAATGGTTGCCTTTGTGGCCTTAATTCAGCTGATATCTTACCACTCTCCTGCATTTTCCAGCTTTGGAGGGCTCTTTAACCTCTGGGTGCTTTGTGGCATCTTAGAAATCCTGACTTCTCCAGAACAGACAGTTCTGGGGAGTCATGTGCAATGCCGTGAGAAGTGAATGCCTGCAGACTCAGCCTGCCCTAGAAAGAGTAGGGCACCACCAGTTATTTACTCCAAATCCATCTGGCTCTGGGGCTCCATTCCCAGTAGCCCAGCTCATGTCTCCATCCTCAGGGCTTTCAGCATTTTTCTTTCTCACCTGCTCCCACATCCTCAAGCCCCAGGCTACCAGCCTGCTGGCCCCCAACGTAGAGTCTGCTGGCATGGCAAAGCAGAGCCTTGGGGCCGGACGAAGAAAGGCTCAGACTCCCACCTGCACCTCCAAGCAAAGGCAGCTCAGAACTCTCCCAGGCTCCCAGGTATTTGCTGGGCTCCTGTCCAAACCCCAGAAAACAATGATGACTCTTCTGCAAGCTCCAACCCCAACCATTTAAACATTGATAGCAGCAAAATAGAGTAGAGGCTCAGGGTCCTTTCCCATCTACAACTGTCTATGGCTGTGAGTTTTGCAACCACCTTGATTACTCTTGTAGGAGATAAAGCGAACCTCATCCCCGATGCTTTGGGGAATTCTTATTTCACTCGTCTAGGGAAGAGTGCCCCGTGGAAGAGCCTAGTGATGGAGATAAATGGAGAGGCTCTGTGGCATGGGAGTGTCTTGGGAGGAGGTGAGAATGGAGTCAGTGCCACATTGCTGCTGAAGAGGTCAGCAGGGACAAGCTGACTCTTTTCAAAAGAAGCCCCCCTTCCCCTGAAGAAAGGCTCCAGGGAAGATGATTGGGCAATGATCTCCTTTTCTTCATACCAAGCAGAAGCCCTGCAAGCCTCATCGTGGGCACGCCTGCTTGTTTGTCCTGAACAGGAAGGACATTCCGTAAGCAGCCCAGGAATGCATTAAACAACTCTCCCCTGGGGCCCCAACTCCAGAAAGATGTGGCTGTTGACAGCTTTTCTCCTTTGCCTTTGGCCTCTGGCCTGAGACAAACCTTCTATAAAGCATGGCTGCCCCTTCTGCTATATTT